AGAGGAGAGAGAGAGAGAGAGAGAGAGAGAGAGAGAGAGAGAGAGAGAGAGAGAGAGAGAGAGAGAGAGAGAGAGAGAGCTAATTTACTGAATTATTAAACGCAGTATTAAAAAAAAAAAAACCACAAATCTTTTAAAACATAAAGTATTAGTCAGTTTTAGAGAATACAGTAAGCAAAACAAAGAAGGTTGCAGAACCGGAATTTCATCAGCGTATATTAGGAAAAAAGGGAGTCGCCTTGGCGTGGCGGCTAGACGCCCGCCTCTGAATCGGAAAGTCGTGGGTTCGCATCCTGACATGCCGGACTTTATTTAAAAAATTGACCTTTACTCCCAGAGCGACCCAGCCTTGAGTGGGTACCAGGTGTAGACCTTGGAAGTGAAGGCAGTCGGCGCGATGCTGACCACATTACCAACCAAGCGCCGATTGGTCTCTAAAAGTATAGGGCTAGTCCTATATTCCCAATACCCCCAAAGACGGGGAAAATGACCTTTATATTAGGAAATAATACACAGTTAACATATTTTTAAAACAATATTTGGTTCTTAATTTATACTTTACTTTACTTTACTTTTTCCTTCCACGTATGCCGCTAAGCGTTGTGGGGAGATGCAAGTTCCTGTCATAAGCAAGGCGGGCAGCATCTGATGTTCTGAGGCCATGCTTTTGGCAGGTTTCGGAGACCCCGTCAATCCACAGTTTCCTTGGTCTTCCTCTTGCCTTATATCCTGAGCTTCTTTGGTTGAAAATTTGTGATGTTATTTGATCATTTTTCATCCTGGTTAGATGTCCAAACCATTTCATTCTTTGATGTTCTATGTAGTCTAAACATGGTGTAGTTTTGACAGTGTTTCTAATGTCTATATTCTTTATCCTGTCTAGTCTGGTCTTATTCGCTGCTTTTCTTAGACATTTCATTTCACAGACTTCTATTTTTCTTTCATGGGTCTTGTTGATTGTCCATGTCTGGCACTGGTAGCAGAGTGTTGGAATGAAGATGGTGTTTATCAATTGTCTTTTGGTCTTCATGGTTATATCTGGATGTTTAAGCAGAGGTGATAGTTGGTATGTGACAGCATTTGCTTTCTGTATTCTTGTTTCTATCTCTCTGTCCATTCTTCCATCCTCTGTAAATATACTGCCCAAGTATTTGAACTCTTTGGTTTGCTTGATTTTGGCACTTCCAACATTTATATTCAGTCTTAATTTATAACGTACCCCAAACACGAAATCCCCGTGGGAAATCCACAGCTGACCTGACAGTCCATTATTTCAAGGGGTGGAAGTGTGCTGTTGTGTGGTGCTTTTTTTTTTTTAGTGTTCATCTAGTGTCTTCTAATGCTAACCCTAACCCTAAACTTGGCTGTAGATAAATCGCGAGAAACTACAACCTGAACACACTAGAATTTATTGGGAATGTCTTCCGTGACGTTGTCGTGACGTCAGGAGTAAGTTATAAATTAAGTACCGAATATTTTCCCGGTAATACGTGCAGCAGGAGAAAATCAACCCCGAGCCTCATAAACTCAGGTGGGCCCACTCTCTGAAAAGGTCTAGGAGCTCGTGGGCCGAAACATTTGTCTACGAGAGATTACTTCTACTGATGATTGGTAGGCTCCTGCTGTACATGCTCCCCTGTGGAGTTTCTTCTTATTGTAGGAATTAATACACAGTTAACATATTTTTAAAACAGTTTTCCCGTAATAGATTTAAATAAATAGGACACAAATAATATAGTGTACAATTTAATGCCGGGCATACTTCACTGTATATCGTCATGTGCGTTACTACAGAATTACATCAGTTGATAAAAGAGCACATAAACTGAATAAATTCAATTGAAATACAAATAGCCACTCTTGATAACGTGCTATGGGACGTTGTGTTGCGGGATGATGATGATATTGACGATGACGATGATGATGATGATGATGATGATGATGATGATGATGATGAGAAAGGCTGCAGTATATTTACGTCATCCGGAAGAGTAACCCTCTCCCAGTGATACAGCAGTCATAAGTATAATGTTTAATATGTAATTAAAATGTATTTGCAATGATTTCGAATTCGATTTTCAAGTGAGTTTTTGTATGAGTGCTTGCCTGTGTGTACGTGTGTCTTTTATATTTTTTTTAAAGAAAAGATAGTCAAAAGTTCAGACAAAACGAACAAACTAGAACGTAGTCTCCGTAATTGAAATAATCATTGCGAAAATGAAGAAACCCACGCCTCTATTAATAATTAAATATGTAACATTTCGAACAAAATATTTGTCCGATACAGCTTCTTCAGAATTTTAACCAACAGTTTATTATGTTGGCATCTCAATTTTAATCTTGGTTTCAAATAACAAATTGCGCAAGACATTTCATTAAAAAAAAAAAAAAAATGACATTACAAAGAAAATAAGTTTCGGCATCAGGTGGCGAAAACGGAGACTTTAGAAAGCTGGTAAGCGACTGATACTTTGTCTAAAAGAAATAATTAGTAATATAATTAAAACATTATGAATAAGTCGCTTTGGGAGTTAGAATGTGAGATTTTGAGATTTTAAACAACGGATCAACATCACGGCACACGTGTGTAACCCATAAGTGCTCCGTTGTTCTTCTAACTCAAGTCCGAATCCGAATAAGCTCAGCACAATGCACAGGCTCTGTAGCACCGGCGAGGATCCTGAAATAATTTGGGTAGATTTTTAACTCCAAATTTACCCGGGCAGCCCAGTTAGGCTGCTTTTTTAAATTTCCAAAAGCAAGCGTTTGTTTTTTCTACATGCGCAACAATGCACACGGGCGTCTGATTTTTACTATCCAGAGACCATGGGGCAGGGGAACAGGGAGGGGGGGGGGGGGGGGGGAGGGTTACTAAAAGTCCAAGTCCAAAAAAATCACAGCTCCTACCGGGGATTAAACCCGGAACCTCTAGCACTCAAGGCGGACACTATGCCTTCGAGACCACGCTGCTTTCTAATAATAAGTCGATTCAAAAGGGCAAAGATGAGATAGGTATGTGTTCTTAGTCCTCTCAGGGATCAAATGTTGTAAGAGGAAATTGTCAAATTAGTGGTCATTCGATCATCAGAAAAAAGAAATTATTATTCTTGGTGATAATGGTGGTAGTAGTAGTAACTGTGCCAGTATTATTAGTGGTAAAAGCAATGGAGATGGTAATCGTAGAAGTAAGTAGTGGTTGTGGTGGTAGTAGTGGTGCAGGTGGAGGTGGTGGTATTGGTGGTGGTGGAGGTTGTAGTAGTGGGGAGGTAGTAGTAGTAACTGTGCCAGTATTATTATTGGTGAAAGCACTGGAAATGGTGAGAGAAGTAAGAAGTGGTTGTGGTGGTAGTAGTTGTAGTAGTTGTAGTAGTGTTGGTAGTGGTAATAGTAATAGTAGTAGTGAGGGTAGTTGTAGTAGTAGTGGTAGTGGTAGTAATTGTAATGGTGGTAGTAGTGGTGTGGTGGAAGTGGTAATTATAGTGGTGGAGGTGGTAGCTATGGTAGTGGTGGTGGTAGAGGTAGTAGTAGTGGTAGTGGTGGTGGTGGTGGCAGTAGTGGTGGTGGTAGTAGAGGTGGTGGTGGTAGTAGTGGTGGTGGTGGTAGTAGTAGTGGTTGTGGTAGTAGAGGTGGTGGCGGTAGTAGTGGTGGTGGTGAAGGTGGAAGAAGTGGTAGTGGTGGTGGTGGTGGTAGTAGTGATAGTGGTGGTGGTGGTAGTAGTGGTAGTGGTGGTGGTGGTAGTAGTGGTGGTGGTGGTAAGAGTGGTGGTAGTGAAGGTGGTAGAAGTGGTAGTGGTGGTGGTGGTAGTAGTGGTAGTGGTGGTAGTAGTGGTAGTGGTGGTGGTAGTAGTGATGGTGGTGGTGGTAGTAGTGGTGGTGGTGAAGGTGGTAGAAGTGGTAGTGGTGGTGGTGGTAGTAGTGGTGGTGATGAAGGTGGTAGTAGTGGTAGTGGTGGTGGTGGTAGTAGTGGTGGTGGTGAAGGGGGTAGAAGTGGTAGTGGTGATGGTGGAGGTGGAGGTGGTAGTAATGGTGGCGGTGGAGCAGGTGGTAGTAATGGTAGTGTTGGTAGTGGGGACGGTAGTAGTGGTAGTGGTGGTGGTGGAGGTGGAGGTGGTAGTAATGGTGGCGGTGGAGCAGGTGGTAGTAATGGTAGTGTTGGTAGTAGGGACGGTAGTAGTGGTAGTGGTGGTGGTCGTGGAGGTGTTAGTAATAGTATCGATGGTAGTGGTGGATGTGGTAGTAATGGTGGTGGTGGAGGTGATAGTAGTGGTGGAGGTAGTAGTAGTAATGGTGGTGGTCGTGGAGGTGGTAGTAGTGGTAGTGGTAGAGGTGGTAGTAGTGGTGATGGTTTAGGTAGTGTTTGAGGTGTTAGAAGTGGATGTGGTGGAGGTTGTGGTAGTGTTTGAGGTGTTAGAAGTGGATGTGGTGGAGGTTGTGGTAGTGTTTGAGGTGTTAGAAGTGGATGTGGTGGAGGTTGTGGTAGTGTTTGAGGTGTTAGAAGTGGATGTGGTGGAGGTTGTAGTAGTGGTTATGGCAATAGTGACGGTTTTAGCAGCGGTAGTTGTGGCAGTAGTGGTGTTGATGAAGGCGGTAGTAGAGGTCTTGGTGAAAGTGGTAGAAGTTGTGGTGGTGGAGGTGGTAGTAGTGGTAGTAGTGGTGGTAGTGGAGGTGGTAGTAGTGGTGGTGGTGGAGGTGGTAGTAGTGGTTGTGGTGGAGGTGGTAGTAGTGGTGGTGGTGAAGATGGTAGTAGTGGTGGAGGTAGTAGTAGTGGTGGTGGTGGAGATGGTAGTAGTGGTGGTGGTGGAGGTAGTAGTAGTGGTGGTGGTGAAGGTGGTAGTAGTGGTGGTGGTGAAGGTGGTAGTAGTGGTGGAGGTGGTAGTAGTGGTGGAAGTGGTAGTAGTGGTGGTGGTGGAGGTGGTAGTAGTGGTGGTGGTGAAGGTGGTAGTAGTGGTGGAGGTACTAGTAAGGGTGGTGGTGGAGGTGGTAGTAGTGGTGGTGGTGAAG